TAGATATTGTTTATATTTCCCACATTCGCTAGATATTGTTTATATTTTCCACATTAGCTAGATATTGTTTATATTTCCCACATTCGCTAGATATTGTTTATATTTTCCACATTAGCTAGATATTGTTTATATTTCCCACATTCGCTAGATATTGTTTATATTTTCCACATTAGCTAGATATTGTTTATATTTCCCACATTCGCTAGATATTGTTTATATTTTCCACATTAGCTAGATATTGTTTATATTTCCCACATTCGCTAGATATTGTTTATATTTTCCACATTAGCTAGATATTGTTTATATTTCCCACATTCGCTAGATATTGTTTATATTTTCCACATTAGCTAGATATTGTTTATATTTCCCACATTCGCTAGATATTGTTTATATTTTCCACATTAGCTAGATATTGTTTATATTTCCCACATTCGCTAGATATTGTTTATATTTTCCACATTAGCTAGATATTGTTTATATTTCCCACATTCGCTAGATATTGTTTATATTTTCCACATTAGCTAGATATTGTTTATATTTCCCACATTCGCTAGATATTGTTTATATTTTCCACATTAGCTAGATATTGTTTATATTTCCCACATTCGCTAGATATTGTTTATATTTTCCACATTAGCTAGATATTGTTTATATTTCCCACATTCGCTAGATATTGTTTATATTTTCCACATTAGCTAGATATTGTTTATATTTCCCACATTCGCTAGATATTGTTTATATTTTCCACATTAGCTAGATATTGTTTATATTTCCCACATTCGCTAGATATTGTTTATATTTTCCACATTAGCTAGATATTGTTTATATTTCCCACATTCGCTAGATATTGTTTATATTTTCCACATTAGCTAGATATTGTTTATATTTCCCACATTCGCTAGATATTGTTTATATTTTCCACATTAGCTAGATATTGTTTATATTTCCCACATTCGCTAGATATTGTTTATATTTTCCACATTAGCTAGATATTGTTTATATTTCCCACATTCGCTAGATATTGTTTATATTTTCCACATTAGCTAGATATTGTTTATATTTCCCACATTCGCTAGATATTGTTTATATTTTCCACATTAGCTAGATATTGTTTATATTTCCCACATTCGCTAGATATTGTTTATATTTTCCACATTAGCTAGATATTGTTTATATTTCCCACATTCGCTAGATATTGTTTATATTTTCCACATTAGCTAGATATTGTTTATATTTCCCACATTCGCTAGATATTGTTTATATTTTCCACATTAGCTAGATATTGTTTATATTTCCCACATTCGCTAGATATTGTTTATATTTTCCACATTAGCTAGATATTGTTTATATTTCCCACATTCGCTAGATATTGTTTATATTTTCCACATTAGCTAGATATTGTTTATATTTCCCACATTCGCTAGATATTGTTTATATTTTCCACATTAGCTAGATATTGTTTATATTTCCCACATTCGCTAGATATTGTTTATATTTTCCACATTAGCTAGATATTGTTTATATTTCCCACATTCGCTAGATATTGTTTATATTTTCCACATTAGCTAGATATTGTTTATATTTCCCACATTCGCTAGATATTGTTTATATTTTCCACATTAGCTAGATATTGTTTATATTTCCCACATTCGCTAGATATTGTTTATATTTTCCACATTAGCTAGATATTGTTTATATTTCCCACATTCGCTAGATATTGTTTATATTTTCCACATTAGCTAGATATTGTTTATATTTCCCACATTCGCTAGATATTGTTTATATTTTCCACATTAGCTAGATATTGTTTATATTTCCCACATTCGCTAGATATTGTTTATATTTTCCACATTAGCTAGATATTGTTTATATTTCCCACATTCGCTAGATATTGTTTATATTTTCCACATTAGCTAGATATTGTTTATATTTCCCACATTCGCTAGATATTGTTTATATTTTCCACATTAGCTAGATATTGTTTATATTTCCCACATTCGCTAGATATTGTTTATATTTTCCACATTAGCTAGATATTGTTTATATTTCCCACATTCGCTAGATATTGTTTATATTTTCCACATTAGCTAGATATTGTTTATATTTCCCACATTCGCTAGATATTGTTTATATTTTCCACATTAGCTAGATATTGTTTATATTTCCCACATTCGCTAGATATTGTTTATATTTTCCACATTAGCTAGATATTGTTTATATTTCCCACATTCGCTAGATATTGTTTATATTTTCCACATTAGCTAGATATTGTTTATATTTCCCACATTCGCTAGATATTGTTTATATTTTCCACATTAGCTAGATATTGTTTATATTTCCCACATTCGCTAGATATTGTTTATATTTTCCACATTAGCTAGATATTGTTTATATTTCCCACATTCGCTAGATATTGTTTATATTTTCCACATTAGCTAGATATTGTTTATATTTCCCACATTCGCTAGATATTGTTTATATTTTCCACATTAGCTAGATATTGTTTATATTTCCCACATTCGCTAGATATTGTTTATATTTTCCACATTAGCTAGATATTGTTTATATTTCCCACATTCGCTAGATATTGTTTATATTTTCCACATTAGCTAGATATTGTTTATATTTCCCACATTCGCTAGATATTGTTTATATTTTCCACATTAGCTAGATATTGTTTATATTTCCCACATTCGCTAGATATTGTTTATATTTTCCACATTAGCTAGATATTGTTTATATTTCCCACATTCGCTAGATATTGTTTATATTTTCCACATTAGCTAGATATTGTTTATATTTCCCACATTCGCTAGATATTGTTTATATTTTCCACATTAGCTAGATATTGTTTATATTTCCCACATTCGCTAGATATTGTTTATATTTTCCACATTAGCTAGATATTGTTTATATTTCCCACATTCGCTAGATATTGTTTATATTTTCCACATTAGCTAGATATTGTTTATATTTCCCACATTCGCTAGATATTGTTTATATTTTCCACATTAGCTAGATATTGTTTATATTTCCCACATTCGCTAGATATTGTTTATATTTTCCACATTAGCTAGATATTGTTTATATTTCCCACATTCGCTAGATATTGTTTATATTTTCCACATTAGCTAGATATTGTTTATATTTCCCACATTCGCTAGATATTGTTTATATTTTCCACATTAGCTAGATATTGTTTATATTTCCCACATTCGCTAGATATTGTTTATATTTTCCACATTAGCTAGATATTGTTTATATTTCCCACATTCGCTAGATATTGTTTATATTTTCCACATTAGCTAGATATTGTTTATATTTCCCACATTCGCTAGATATTGTTTATATTTTCCACATTAGCTAGATATTGTTTATATTTCCCACATTCGCTAGATATTGTTTATATTTTCCACATTAGCTAGATATTGTTTATATTTCCCACATTCGCTAGATATTGTTTATATTTTCCACATTAGCTAGATATTGTTTATATTTCCCACATTCGCTAGATATTGTTTATATTTTCCACATTAGCTAGATATTGTTTATATTTCCCACATTCGCTAGATATTGTTTATATTTTCCACATTAGCTAGATATTGTTTATATTTCCCACATTCGCTAGATATTGTTTATATTTTCCACATTAGCTAGATATTGTTTATATTTCCCACATTCGCTAGATATTGTTTATATTTTCCACATTAGCTAGATATTGTTTATATTTCCCACATTCGCTAGATATTGTTTATATTTTCCACATTAGCTAGATATTGTTTATATTTCCCACATTCGCTAGATATTGTTTATATTTTCCACATTAGCTAGATATTGTTTATATTTCCCACATTCGCTAGATATTGTTTATATTTTCCACATTAGCTAGATATTGTTTATATTTCCCACATTCGCTAGATATTGTTTATATTTTCCACATTAGCTAGATATTGTTTATATTTCCCACATTCGCTAGATATTGTTTATATTTTCCACATTAGCTAGATATTGTTTATATTTCCCACATTCGCTAGATATTGTTTATATTTTCCACATTAGCTAGATATTGTTTATATTTCCCACATTCGCTAGATATTGTTTATATTTTCCACATTAGCTAGATATTGTTTATATTTCCCACATTCGCTAGATATTGTTTATATTTTCCACATTAGCTAGATATTGTTTATATTTCCCACATTCGCTAGATATTGTTTATATTTTCCACATTAGCTAGATATTGTTTATATTTCCCACATTCGCTAGATATTGTTTATATTTTCCACATTCGCTAGATATTGTTTATATTTTCCACATTCGCTAGATATTGTTTATATTTTCCACATTCGCTAGACATTGTTTATATTTTCCAGATTCGCTAGATATTGTTTATATTTTTCACATTCGCTAGGAATTGTTTATATTTGTTTTACATTCGTGGGACATTGTTTTTATTTACCACATTCTTAGGACATATGTTTGTCGATATAGACACATAGTGAGTATTGATATACATATGTTATCGGTGCATGGACTAAACAAACGAAATTGGATGACCTTACTATAAGATAATGGTCACCTGGTCTCCTTGTACCTTTCAATTGTTTCCCTGTTAGATGTTCCCTTTGTTCATATTCTGCCAATGTTTCATTGATTTCGAGTTTGTATTACGGTTTGCTGAAACTTCAAGATTCCTTGTTTTTTCATTGACACACAGTTTCCGTCCTTGTATAACGCCATATTGACGATGTGCTGTCGTGTACAAGGAGTGTATAGAGCAATAGTTAATTAGATCACGTCCATTACATACTCTTCTACATCAGCCACTTGCCTCGATCATTATTTACAATGTGACCAAAAGGAACGGCTTTCTACGAAACTACGATAAGTAAGCATGGCCATTTATATTTTCCCATCATGTACTTTCCATTTCGTGATATTAAAATAACCAGCTTCCCGAACCTACAGTGTTTAGATGATTCATGATTCTAGGGCTTGCTCAGAAATTCTTACTCTCCTTGATGGCGACATCTGACGGACAAATGTAGTGCTAGTTTATGTCGACAAGCATAACAAGGGCAGATTTGAACATGCATAATACAAATCAGAATCTTTATTTGGACAGAAGTTTTACAAAACTGTAAATTGTTGATTTCATTAGTCGATACCTGATATCGCTTGTTTAATATGTCAACACTGAAACGCGTACTTACAGAGGCGTTATAGAAAAACATATGTATTCAATCATTGTGTAAATCTAAGAAACAAAAGTTAGGACGAATACAAATGAGCAGTAGGATATACTAATAATTTATGAAACATACGAACGAACCTGCGTAGACATGAAGTTGAAAATGGCAATTTGTATCTAGTACAGTCAAAGTAGAGAGTAGAACATCCCGCGTCGTACCGGAAGTCTGTCATTGTGTAAAAAGTGTTTTCGACCAATAAGTTGGTAATTTAAAGCAATATTTATCGCAGGAACAGTCTATTCTGCATTTCTCTTTCTGTTATAGACCGACCATGTATCAAACAGGACGCCACACCAGCGCCCTACACGACCTCAGTAAGACCTCCTTCTTTGGCAGTGCCCATTCCAGACAAGGCAGTTTGTTTTCCACCATCTAGGCTCACAGCTGAGTTGGGATCATTGTCATCCGTTGTCCCTATCGGGTTTTCGGCGGCCATCTCATCGTCTCGGCCACAGTCGTTGCCTTCGGCCTCGTCCACTATGGCTATATCGTCCTCCAGTGTTGGTTTGTTGAGGTCATCTCCCCAGTCATCGCCTTCCTCCTGCGGACCTACCTTGGAGTTTGCCGGGGGATTTCCACACCGGCCCTTACAGCACGGCCACCAGCAGCAGCACTTCAAACAGCATACCTTACAGCACTTCTTACAGCAGGTGAATGCTCCCACTAACACCCATATCGCCACACAGCCAGTGATACATCCAATACCAACCCCGACCAGTCCTCCCATACCCAGGGCGATGAAAGCGCCGATGAATTCCTCCGTAACTGTTTGAAAAGAAGAAATTTGGTAAATGTTATTTAGCATGTATTCCCAATGAATGATTTACTTGGTGTATTGTTGAACTTTGTTCTTATTTTCTTAAGTGATACTACATGTACTTTTTACATGCTTCATGTAAGAACTCAACCGTTGTATCGAACTGTGTTTTTTTATTAGAAAATATAATTGATTGCTTACAGGTGCAGTCGTTCTCGTCCGTAAGATCAGCACACTGGTAGGTACCATCACACTTGAGTCGGCCGTCGATACAGATGTTTTCACTTGGACATAAATACTCGTCATCCTGACAGGGTGCTACAAGGACAAACCAAATTAAGATTCAAACGTGATACCACACCTGACACCCTGTCAGTTCCAATTTATTCAAACGTGGAAATATATACGGAGGCGTTATACGTTGGCATAGAAACTATTAATTAGAAAACCTATTAAGATCAAATGAAAGAAGTATATATTGATAATGTTTTTGTGTCACTGTAAACTGTGACGATCGTCACGTAATTGGTTGCAAACTGTGCTAATTACGTTTTTGACATTTCCTGTATTATTTATAGAAGCTGGATGACATCTGACTTAAGATATCCTGCTGGTCTGACAATACCCCCTACCCGCGGATATTAGCCTTATTCTTGGTTTCTGTTGACGTCCATTGTACAAAGCATCATGCGATAGGGCGGCGTTTCATTTTAATGTTTGTATAATGAATCGATGATATCACTAATTCGTTGCGTTGAAATCATTAATGATATTACCTATTGATTAGATCGTATTACCTAGTAATCATAGTGACAGCAAAAGTTCATCATGGTGTCATCACATAATCAAAGTAAATAGGTGATATCAGAAACTCAGAGTGATATTTCTATAACATTAGACGATGCCATTATCATAACTTGACAATACCACTATACTGATTTTATATACTCGTAAAGAATTGCTATATTACTTAATAACAGTGAAATAAATATAAAAAAACGGTGCGAAACAACATATTGCTTTCTGTGATTATTCTACAAAACTTCGCTAAACTTGGCATATGTATCGTTTTTCTGTTTACTATTCGTCGTTTAACCCTGATCACATAAAGATCTTCGTTAGTTAAGATTGTGTAAGTTATTTAGTGCTCCACATATACTTATAATCGAAATGTAAACAAGTGTTTTACAGTCAGGAACATTTAATGCTACTAACCTTATATATTATGTGATCTGGACACCCCTAATAATGGATTTAGTGAAATGGGGTAAGTATGTTATCTGATCAGACACTTTATATACCAATTCGGCATTTGACCTTATATGTTACAACGATAAGTGGGTATAATCCTTTGGTGGATTTGGGTAGGTCTAGACCATGTACGGTCAAATCCATTAGTCACAACTACACCGGCTTATGAATTATTCATGTATAGGTAATTTAGTTCAAATAACCGTAATTGATAATTGAACAAATAGCAGAAAAAAGACAATGTTTTTGCAATCGCCCTCACCAATAATGTTCGGCCTTTGGATATGGATGCTGACATCTTATTCAAAAAAAAAAAGATTAAATTGATTTAATCATGGAGGCTCAAGATCATACCTTGGAAGAATATATTCGAATATAAAGTCACAAAACAATTTTCAGCCTATTTTCTTTCGAAATTCAACGATTCGCCCCGACTCTGCTGAATATCACTTTGATACCATTGAAAAACACGTGCTGAGAGCGATAACTAATTTTGGGTTTCCTATAATACCATCCATTGATGTTGAAACTGTTATGGCGAGAAAGCTTAATATGTAGTAAGGCACCTTATGTACATCTTTCTATAGCCTTCGACTCGGGAATTCTGAAATGCAACGACTCACTGTGACATTTCGATATACGTCATTTTCACATATAAATGTTTTTTTTATGACAAAATCTGTCATGGGACTATTTCAGACGCCATCTCCGTTTCAGCTGTGACTCATGAAGACATTACGACATATGAGATCCCATAAAACGTATTGTAAAAATTTTCAAATAGCTGTTTTTTATCCTTAAGCCATTTCCACGTTACATGAAATAATTTGGTACGAGGTCATAAACTAATGGGAGAGGCGGATAGGTAAAACAAATTTGATTGAGGATCAAAGCAGGATCACGGTCAAAATTCGAACAAAACAAAGAGAGACAAAATAAAGCGAAAACAGGAAATAAGCCAAATATAGACACCAGGAGACAGCTAGCGAAACAACCAATCCGAAACAAATTAGACAAAAACAACAACCAATCAGTACACTCGGCGACGATATCAAGCAACCAATCAGTACACTAGGCGACACTATCAAGCAACCAAATCAATACACTCGGCGACGATATCAAGCAACCAATCAGTTCACTAGGCGACACTATCAAGCAACTAAATCAATACACTCGGCGACACTATCAAGCAACTAAATCAATACACTAGGCGACAATATCAAGCAACTAGTCAGTACACAAGGCAACAATATCAAGCAACCAAATCAATACACTCGGCGACGATATCAAGCAACCAATCAGTGCACTAGGCGACACTATCAAGCAACAAATCAATACACTCGGCGACGAAATCAAGCAACCAATCAGTTCACTAGGCGACACTATCAAGCAACCAATCAATACACTCGGCGACGATATCAAGCAACTAATCAGTACCCTAGGCAAAACATCATCAACCACAAGAACACAAGGAAACCACTCAGAAAACAAGAATATAACGATCTTGGTAACCAAACTTCGCACGATTAGATGACAATATTAGCGATTAATAAATATCTTTTAATACTGATTAGCTAAGTACTTATAGTTGACGAATCCTAGATACACTGTATATACATATTGAGGAAATATTCGGTATCCATGTTCTTCCAAAGTGATAGATAATTGTATTTTATACATAGGTACTTCTATTTGGCCCCTACTTGAATTATTTTGCGAAGTACCAGGTGAGAATAAATTGTCAAAGTGCCAGGTAAGACATTCAGATCTAGATAATTGCATTGTATCAAAAACCTAGTTAATTATCGTTTGAGAAATATTAATAAAGGCTACGGAGGTTTCAGAATCATACAGCGACTGGTTTGTACTGTTATAAGTAGATGTAAGGACCTCGCGTTCTGGCTTGGAATCCATCAAAAAAGAATTGTTTTATGACACATGCTTGAATAAGCAGTTGTCCGAGACATTGATTGCCGAAAACGCTGGTGCATACTTTGATGAGGGTCTTCTCGGATTGGATTGTAACACACTCTAATCGTGGCAGAAGCCTTGTATGTGTAATGGAGAACCAGAATCAATCAACGATATTTCCCCATATCTTTACAATAATTCAATGACGACCGAAATATGTCTATCTTGTATAATCAGATTTGGTGTTCTGGCGTCGGTACACTTTTGATCTAATGGCATTGGTGCCACGGACAAGAGACTCCAGTACATCGTCAGGTCATGATGGGTGTAATACGATGATTGATCGGTACGTATTGTATAGACATTGTGGTTGTAATTTGGTTATTGTTACCTACCTATTGTATGATTACTGGTTATGAGTTGGTCGTGTTTGAGTAGTACGCATTGCATGGTCAGTTTGGTTATGATCTGGTCACTCTTTTGACGGTTTTCATTGTATGGTCAATTTAGTTGTGATATGGTCATTGCATGGTCAGTCTGGTTGTGATATGTTCACTGCATGGTCAGTCTGTATGTGATATGCTCACTGTATGTTCAGTCTGGTTGTGATATGGTCACTGTTAACTGGTACTTATTGTATGGTTAGTTTTGGTATGATTTATTCACTAGTCGGTACCTATTGTATGGTCAGTTGGTTGTGATATGGTCAATGTATGGTCGGTCTGGTTGTGATATGGTCACTGTCAACTATATTGTATGAGCAGTTTGGGTATGATATGGTCATTCATTTGTCATTATTTATTGAATGATAATTTAGGTTGTGATAACATCATGGTTTTGTCAGCACTAAAAAGTCGGAGCCGATAGACCTTTACTCTGTAGATGTTTTTTGATAAAAATTTAGAAACATGATATTTCCGTCGACTCCCTAATATAAAACAATACCTACAGCCCGTCATCATACTGGAGAATGTTTTATGATCATTTTATACATTATTGTCCCAGATATAAGTGTTTAAAAGGGAAAGCTCTTCACTAGAAACCGATATTTTATAGGTCAATCTGAATAAACAGATTCCCTAACGACTGTATAAACATTATTAACGTCATGACTGCGCTGGAAGCGTCACTTGTGCTTGTTTTGGAATAACGTACGTGGCTGCTGTAACGGAGGGATCTGCTTTTGTACTTTAAAAATAAAGATGTTCTTTTGTGAATAATTTCGGATTTTTATTGATAAAATGTTATATTAATATACCTCAGCGAATATGCGCAAGAATGGAAAAGCACAATGTCAATAAGAAAAGATAAACTATACCACAGCGTCAACACACATTGACAAAATATACCTCAACATTCAACAAAAAAGAAAAAATCAGAACTTAAATTGACCATAAAAACAGCAACGTGAACCGATGAGATACCAAAACAAAATGGAAAATTTACTTACCCCCCTAAATAAATGAAAAAAGTAAGAGGTAAGAAACCAAGAAATCATTGTCTTTACCAAATTAACATTTGTCATAATGCCTTTTGAATCCAGGAGAGGATATATATTGATGAACATATTGCAGCCAAAATCTGTGAAAGTTCTTTACACCAGTAGATTTGTAGAATTGTGCTTACGTGCTTCATATCGGGTAGCTCTCAATCTCCAGCCGTTGTCGGCGGCCGACCCGTCGGTATGGAACTGTAAGGTGAGGTAACGCTGGGTGGGATAACCGGTGATATTCACCTGGCCACCACAGTATTGGCCGATCAGGGTGGACGCGTTACTGATGTCAGTCATGTCCGCGTCATAAATAGCCAGGTAATCTGCTGCACACGATGCGGAGGGCTGGAGATTAAAGTGGTGCCATTCCACCTTAAACCTACAATATAAACCAACGGTGAAAAGTCAACTTTGAGGATATAAAAGTTAAATATTAACTAAAAGAATATAGTAAGGAAGCATTTATCTAAATCCAATATGATGATGCAGAATACAACAACAAACAAAAAACAAAAGAAGATATTTGCACATTATGACAATTTTGTCGGTTAAACTAAGGTCAAATGAATTCAAGTGAAGACCTATGTAGAAATACAGCCTATAGGAAAGGTGCCAATTAAACTATTTATTTCAATACAAATTAACAAGTTTTTACTACAGCTGATAATCAATTTATTTCTAAAAGAATAGTTATTTTGTGTAAACTTATATAGACGGATTAAATTATTAAATTCCAGTTGCAAGGTTACGGCCAACCACGGAGACTGTTAGTCCACCAGCAATTTACCACTTTGTTATGTGGAATCGGCACTAAAATACGAGGTAAAAGGTTATAATTACTGCTGATGCAGAAAGCATATACTACGGAAAGGAGCGCGTCTTAAAGTAAAATAGGAAGAAATGATACTTCAGAGTCAAGGTTTTAAAAATCCCTGATTTTAATGGTATTTTTAAAATAAAAACGAAGGGCCATTATATGAAAACAAGGAGTTTTTACTGTGACGCAGAATCTGTGATATTTTACCAAACATACGTATGTGTCAGATGTAGCAAGGCAACACTATTTTGTATGCATGTAGAACGAACTTAATTGATTTCATACTACCAGAAACACATTTACTGTTAAATATCATGTATTTTGTTTCTCAAACTTTGTGGCACAAAATACATCAACTTGGCACAATGAGTTCATACATTTCTCCATTATAACATTTAGAACCCATGCCCTGAACTCCCCAGAATTGTTAATAAAACAGTAAAAACGAATCATTCTTCACCTGCCAGGCGTTAGCAAAGGGAATGTAACATTTACGACCAGAAACAACCATCTAATAATATCATCAAAATCTTAAAAAAGAAAACAAATGACGTGACTTTGTATTACCAACAAAATTATTTTCATTTTACTGAATCTCCTATGCTATATAGAAAAAAGAGGAAATATTGTGATCATGCATGTGACACAATGTAATGTCCAAACTAGGTCACAGTGTTGTTATTGACCTCATTTATTCACACTGTGTGATCGGCACACATCTACGTACAAATAATGTATGAAGAGTTGCGGTAAGATAGAATCCACGCTGGATTCTGAAAGATAGAAACTTTCATGAACACTTTTCTTCGTAAGACAAGCAATTAAGATTATCACTTAGTTAGGGCATCCTTTATGTTAACATATCTGTTAAATCATTCGAATGATAGATGTTCCTCTGATGATACGATTTTATCATATTTCAAAGACATGTTTATCGTCACATCACCTTTACCTTCCCCGAGATAATTACCTGTACGCCGTACCAGATATATATAGGTGGCATGATAACATTATACATCATATTTGCTCTGGCCAAACTGGAATTGTTGGCGGGGACCTATAGACACACCTTAATTGTGTTCCTTAATAAGATGCTGCAAAGACTACCGATAAGGTGTTGCCTTACACACCATTACTGCACTTATCAAATAACCTGTAATCGAAGTTGAAATAATAAGTCAAACATCGTGCCCTCTTGTTACTGTACATGCTGTCGTGACATTACTTGAACAACTATCTACCTTCAGGTAATTGTACATGGGGTTGTGGTATGACATTATGACAACGATAAAGGACTTGCTTAATTGTGCACGAACGACACAGCAAGACACAAGTATTGTCTCTCCTGCATTGTTGTTTTTATCAAGGGAGAGCTGTAAGGTCACAGTAATATAACATAGAGCGATCAGATTGTTGCACCCCTGCATAATTCTTGGTCAACATACTAGGGCTTCATTTCGTTCGAGAAGGATCTTCGATTCAGCAAATTATCATATTTGAATCCCTAATCAGGATTCGTAGTCCATTGGATAGTTTCTCTAAAACGGTGTTGTGAATCTTAACGGGTCAGACATCACGGAGATCCCCCAGAAAAGCCTCTATCTACGGGATGATGTATGAAGGCACCGGAACCTTTCCTGTACGTTTTGAAGTCTGATAGAACTACATCGGAAGGAAAAGAAAAGAGTGACTAGCGGTATATGTGTAAGGGTTAGTTAAAATCCGTCTGGATAAACAATACTGTAAATGGAGTTGATTAAGGAAAATAAGCATGGCAGCGTCCTATGACGAATATGTTATTATGTTACCGTATTTTTTAAGAAATATGTACTTACATTATTAAAAATTAAGGTAACTAATAAAGAGACGTATAACTAGCGTATATGAATGAACGTTTTTTCTGAAAGTGGCTTCCTCGGAAGCACGGTTATCACTATTGTAGCAGTCTTTTGTAGAGTTTAATAATATAAGTCTACTTTTCGATAATATTTACTTCAGCTGTTGCGCCGACTATGACTACATGTGATACATGGAGATGTCACAATCGCGACGATACCGTAATTATTGAGAGAACGTGTTTCGCATAGCTTCTTATATTAGAAAATCTTTGTATTCAAACAGAAGGCAATTATCAAATTACTTTAAAACAGTCACAACAATAACAATCATGTTGTAGGCTCTCTTTTCGATAGTACACTGTGGCTCAAACCCAGGAAACAATTTTTCGAACAATAGCTGTAAAGACTTCAACTATTACATGCTCACGAGTTTTTGGGACAATGTAAACTCATTGTCTATGTTCGAATTTATTTGTTTTCCCCTACGACCAGTTAACGCAATGCATATGTACAACTATCAGGATCTTTAGTTTCTCTGTTACTGATGATGGGGCGTCACACGACCGATATGTATCTAAAAGGAATAATATCTTACTTAGCTGAATTCATTGACCCAGCGTCCAGCGTCAACACGCAGTCAACGTTGTCGTCATAATCCCACAGGTACAAAGGGTTGATGTGGCTGTTTACGTACGCGCATGCGTCCTCCACACGTTTGTTACAGATCCCACCAAAAGCATTGCTTACACCAGGGTCCATGTAGTCTGTAAAACACGTCATCGAGTCAGAATACGCCACCTTTGTTTGTGCTGCTATATAATAGTTTCAGTGAATAATGAAAAACAGGGTGAAAAACAAAAAATCCGAAACAAATATCTGAATGTTACTTGACTATTTCAACACACAAGACATAACGTGAATCAACAAAGCTTTATGAGTGTTCATTATTCCTGAAATAGACAAATCAGTACACAAAAGGCTGTATAATAACAACCACTAGAAATTTGAAGAAATATATAAAATATTTTGGTTATAGATACAAAAAGTCAAACAAAGTAATCGTTCACCTGTATTGCATACACAAGTTCCAATTTCACTTACGCTCTTTTGCTTACGTTTAGAAACTTTGCGATGACCGTAACCAATGTTTGTTTCCTACAGAAAACGACACCAGGAGAAGATTTGTCGCTGTGTGTGGTCGAGAATTGGCATAGACTTTTGCCAAATATGTATCTAGGTTAAAAGGAGACAATTGCTTACAGTTACGTCTGATCTTGAAGCAAAACGACTACTGTCAGGGAATAAATTTTGCCATTGCGAAGTCGCCCGGGAGATTATTAAACATGCTGCGGATGAAAAGTTTCTGATCTGTGAAATAATGCACATTACGTAGTACGTGCGAGTATGATGACAGCAGGGAATATCTATAGCCGGCTTAGGGGTGTCACAGCCTCCACGTAGTTGTCTGAACCTGCTGACCACCGTGCTCCCAGTCGCTTTAGATTAATGGCTCATAAACGTTATATGTGCAAAATGATAAATAATTTTGAAAGCTGTCTTAAATTTAACACCATGGCATATTGTAGAGTATTAGGTTTTCAAATGATGTTTTACACACTCTCTGTACCTGTACTTTTTAGTTTTAAAAGATGGGATTCCAAAAACCACCCACCCTCCGATTTATTTAAAAGTAATTTTAATGAAAAAATAGACCTTTATAATCTACACTTACTTGACAATAATGACGTTTTATGTGAATATGACATAGTATAATATACATGTAATGCTAGGTAGAGGTAATTTAGTATTAATTAATGTTATATATGATATGGAAAAGGCCCTACCGGTCATAGGCCATAATGCAACAGTGTTGGAAGTATTCACATACAAAAGTTAATGTTCTTCATTAACGTAAATAATAATATAATAATGTGTAAGTAAGCAATCCTATCGATATGTGTGTGTGGTTTACTAGTTGGCTTGTCTCTATCCATTAACCTGCCTGGTTTGGGTGACCCTAACTGGAAACGATGTTTCTGCCGTAAAATAATTGTTCTGCATAAAATGTGTTATATGAATTACATTTACATATACAAGTTGACTATGCCTTTTGTTGTCAGCTATGTCTAAGGTATATGGTATTTCAAAAATGCAGGTGTTCAATAATTTAGTACCAGCCTTATTATACATATTAAATATAAAATGTAGACATTTGCAAGGATGCCCTTTTGACCGTTATTCATTTGAATAATACATTTGCAGGCACAATAAGGAATGACACCAGGTTTTACTCATATGTGTAATTATTTAATATGTTTACATGTTGTTCAACAAAAACCAATATAGTTATAATTTTAGTCCCTATTAAACAACTATTGATAACACATTTGGATATTGACTTGCGAAATAAAGAGACATTGGCTTATTGAGGATTAATACATTGTTATGCTGAACTTGTTGATTTGACAGCTTGATTTGTCTCATGCTCTTTGAGAACAATTTTGCAATCAAATATTGTTTAAGTATAATCATTGACAAGTATTATTCAAATGCTGGAAAAACACAACAAATATTAAGATTTGATACAAAATAAAGAAAAAACATATTGTTCAGGCTGTTTCTGCATTATAGAATTATAATGTTTTCTAAATACACCTTATAATGATCAAACAATTATGTAACTATGCTGTGCATTACCCTTTAAGGATTTTTTGTGAACTGGAGACACTTTTCTCAAATCCAATAGTAGCTCGAACACTATTTTCCCGGATTTCAATTCTTTTATTTTTTTTAAATTTTATTGAAGCTAACTTTTAAGGAAATCAAAATGGTGGACAAAACTTATATCATACCAAGTTTTTATATATTTGGCGAAAGCCTGGTTTTGAAAATGTTAAAAATCCACTATTTTTCCCTTGAATTATCGGTATACCAATATTCCAATACAACTTTGATAAAAAATATGAATAATGCTTCAGGAAGGTGACAAAATAAGAATTTATGAAAAATGTGGTACAAAAACATATTGACGCATGTTTTGACATATGGTCAGTTCACTGAGCATGTGGACCCTTTGGGCCTTTTTAATCTAAAAGATGAAAATTTAAGTGTATATTTTGTATTGCCATTTATAGTACTACAAACATGCAAAGTTTGAAAGTGTGAGTGGTTTCTATGGGAAATTTAACATTAGCTGGAACCCCACCTTTCAACATTGTTAAAAAAATATCTTACGGATTATATGTGATTAAGCTGATAAGACTTTTGTCACATTTTGATTATTGGTCTGGTATTATCATAACCTTCACATCTAACGTACGAGTTGTCATAAACACATACAGACAGAACTGTAATATCTACCTCACACCCAATCTCCGGAATACTGCTGATATACCAGTAATATGATCCTGTTACCAATAACAACAGAAGAAAACTTTTCATAACCCAAAGATTTATTATTTTGTTTATCTCATTTTCATTAAATTGTCCGGATGTCTGTTGGTGTTCCGGCACATCTTGTTATTGTGTCTGAATTCGGTAGAGTCCCGAGTGTTCATCTATCTGGGGCATAATGATCAAGTCTGAACGTTCTAGGTTTGGGAATCTTGTATACATCAACTGTGAATGATTTTCGGTAAAATTTGAAAACTATCATTCGGTGATTTGTTTCAGAGGGTCATCGTATAAATATCTATCGTGCAAAGAACTTAAGAAACCGACGGGAATAGGAATGAAAGATGCGTAAAACCCTGTTTTTAGAGGTGAAACGTAAGGCTTAGTAACAGGCGTTCACGGAGCAGCATTGAAGAGTTGCGTCTTTATACTTACAGTCTGCTATGAGATAGAAGGCCAGAGTGGTTCCAACAGAGAAGGCAAGGACCCAGAACTGCAGGCATCGGACCTCTGTTTTGTATTCCATCCTGTTGTCTACTGATGAGCCGTAAAACAAGAGGGCTATAGCTCACTTTTACAGGTGTCCTTACAGTTCCTGTAGTGAAACGATCCTTTTTTTCCTGACGGTCTAAGAAACAATTCTACTGTGATAGCCCTACCACGTCACTTACGGTCATCTTTGACCACCAGATGTGGTATATTGACCAGTGTATGGCTATATTAGGGCACATGTATAGATATTGAACTTAAATACCATGTCAATGCTCGACTACAATAGCGTCCTTGTTTAACTCCATTCCCGAGTGATAGTGTATTGTTATAATAACATTCTATAACAATAATATTTCAGAATTAAAAGAATTATAATGTGATAAATATATGTAATCCGATTACGTTAAAGAAGCCCGATTAGTGCCCTAAATACCTTTAACACGGTCCCTAGTTTGTGTAACGATCTACTTACCTACTATTCTGTAGTGAGCCAAACATACCTACAACAATGATCAGGCGCTCCCAGTCAAAATGTTGATTGTTAGGCTTATTGCTACAGTTTCCGAATAAACATTTAATGTTTTACTGTCTCCTCTCAATTGTTGAATTGACAAGACCTTAATTCTGAGCTTCTGTCCAGTAGTTTGTATGTGTCACAATTGACCCTACTTTGCAAATTGTACCAAATGGCTATAAGGTTGGGGGAGGATTATTGCGTACTCGGCATAATTCACTTTCACTGCTATCAAGTATTTTTCCTTATGGTTTCCCTATTAAGACTTACAGACATATTCACTTAATGTGTTGAAAAAGATAGCATGTTTTAAATTGGAAGAAAATGGAGAGAATAACGCAAAAATTAGATTGCATTAAAATAGATAATCCGTCCTGCATTCATGCAACCGTTAAAATGCCAAAACTAAAATTCTGTGCTGAAGCCTAATTTCTTAATCTGCTTGTAAGTTATTATTTTGTCAGCCATTTGAAAGACATGTGAAGAAAGTTTAAGCCGAGTGCCGTTTTCAATAGACAGTTGGCTTATTGACCATGTCATATAATTTAATCAAGTCATAAGAAAGATAGATTGAGCTCAGAATCAACGCTTGAACATACCGTATTTACAATGCGAAATTCGTCTCAAATACATTAACCTAATTGAAATATGAAATTCATTACATATAAACTTACGTTTTTAAGACGTAACTAAATCAAGTTTATAATACACATATACATTACCGATTTTTGAGATGTGACGTTTATCACGTCCGTGAAGACGTGTTAGAAAAGCAAAAATACCTGAGAATGGGATTTGTGTGTCATTTTATTTATTGGTACATTGGTTTCTATTATGGCTGTTGTATTTTGTTTATAAGTATAGATGTCATCTTATCTATTTGTTAATTGGTGAATATTACATTAGATTAATATGTTAATTGGTGAATATGACATTTTATTGATATATTTATATATATATTGGTAATTATGACTGTTTATGACTAGTTCTCAACCCCCGATCTGCATGGGTGAACAAAGGTCAGTGTAGCACAACCAGTGAATCGTTTCTGTTTGATGTTTCGATGACAAGTACAGTATCTGCTCTGGCACTCTCATTGGTCAAACGACTGGCAAAGCGTATGTACCCATAGGGTGTAAAACATGTACGAACTTAAGCATTGGTTGCGCTACATGATGCTGTATACAATCCATTCTCACCAACCTGAAAAAAACGATGAGATCCATTTTTTCATGTAATAATTTACTTATCGCTTTTGTGTGTTTGTTTTTAGCATTTTATTTGTTTATACATGTATATTATAGTACACTATGTCTTATTCTAATAATCATTCATATGATGTTTTATCTATTTATATATATCAAAATTCATGTATACGACATTTGCTGGTAAAAAAAAATAGAGGTTTCCCCACTCGAGACTCACTGAACTAACCTGCTAGGATATCGTGGGTAACACCCTGAACGTACATTGTAGTTATATTTGTATATTTACATTTGCATGGCATTGTCACTATATAGCCTCTTTGAAAGCAGTGTCGTTGATGGGACTTTTATTACCATGCATCACGAGACACAATTCTTAGCGTATTAATACAACACTGACCGGAACTACAATATCCAATACAAATAAACATGACGGCTGCTGAAATACCGCTGGGCATTGTGAGATTTGACAATGTCATTGTCAATTTATGTGCAAAATAAAAAACACTTTTATTACAACGAAAACAAAAACAAGGTCTGCAATATCATACAAAATGCACATAGGTTGAAATCACCAATGCCGGCAATGGAAACAATTTTAACGCTCATGCAATTTATCAGAAATATCGTCTGTTACACTGCACTGATCAACAGGGGTTCGTTACAAATGTCTGAAATACACATATATTCTATAGACCTACTGACACATATGTTACAGACCTACTGACATGAGTCACAGCACACATAAACATTTCAGACATTTGTAACGAACCTGTGCTCCGTTGCAAGATCACTCACTTCTAACGCTATCAGTTTCACGCGTCTCGCATCCACGGTTCCTCAGTTTCTGACGACATGTCAAATAACGAGTCTGTTATAGAATCTACCGACTGTTGTCAGGTTCCCATACAATCAACAAATAAATTCACGCCTGGATTCTTCACAAAATGAGCAAAGAGAAAAGTTCGAAATAACTTCCAAAAATAACTCCCTCGTGGAGGGCAAGGTCGGCTTTACGGTGTTCACTGTATTTGTCCATACGCGAAATTTGTTCCGGGGAAAAATCGAAACAATTTTAAATCTAACTTTCAGCTCAGAGTTCTATTGATAAACTTAAATCACCCTATAGACATATCATACGCAATTGTATTGATACTGAATTGTGGAATTGAAGTGTTTGTTAAAATTTCAAAGTACTACTTTGTTTGCCAATCAGCACGCGACAATACGCTGTTCAAACTATTGAACGAAATTGTGTGGACTGTCGATAAGGCGGGAATTTTTAATTTTAAATATAAATTATAAGTTAAAAAAGAACATTAGAGGCAGAGAACACGTAAAAATAAGTATTGAACTGTTTTTGTATGGTATTTATGATCTATTTGAATGACACAGCTAGCGTGCATTATATTGTTTGCTTGCAAAGCTGTGTCATTCAAATAGATCATTAATACCATACAAAAACAGTTCAATGCTTAAATATCTAATTATGACGTCAACTAACTGCACTGCACCAGCTTTTTGCATGGTTATATTAAACATCATGACACTTATTTCCCTGATCAGGCAATGTATTATCTTGTATTTCCAAGAGAAACATATGGTCTCTAGGTATCATATGCAGACATAAAAGAAAATACCTTAAAACGTACGATAAAGTAAATGACAAAGGTCGATATGACTATAAAAAAAGGCGTTGGTCAGCTATATTTTTCCGAACAGTGAAGCAGTTTTCCATTACCTTATTGCGTAATGAATTAACGACCAATCTGGAGACGGCGAGGACAAGTTCGTCCCCACGCCTTTCTCTATAGCTTGGACAATGTCACCGATTACAGGTTTAACACATTATATATAGTTTTCTATTGATTACAGGTTTAACACATTATTTATAGTTATCTATTGATTGCAGGTTAAACACAGTATAGTTCGTTATCTATTGATTACAGGTTTAACACAGTATAGTTCGTTATCTATTGATTATAGGTTAAACACAGTATAGTTAGTTATCTATTGATTATAGGTTAAACACAGTATAGTTATTCATCTATTGATTACAGGTTTAACACAGTATAGTTTGTTACCTATTGATTACAGGTTTAACACAGTATAGTTTGTTATCTATTGATTACAGGTTAAACACTGTATAGTTCGTTATCTATTGAATATAGGTTAAACACAGTATAGTTCGTTATCTATCGATTACAGGATTAACACAGTATAGTTGGTTATCTATTGAATACAGGTTTAACACAGTATAGTTCGTTATCTATTGATTACAGGTTTAACACAGTATACTGTGTTAAACCTGTAATTAATAGATAACGAACTATCCTGTGTTAATCCTGTAATCGATAGATAACGACCTATACTGTGTTTAACCTGTAATTAAAAAAAAAAAAAAAAAAATTTTTTTTTTTTTTTTTAATTACAGGTTAAACACAGTATAGTTAGTTATCTATTGATTATAGGTTAAACACAGTATAGTTAGTTATCTATTGATTACAGGTTAAACACTGTATAGTTCGTTATCTAATGATTACAGGTTTAACACAGTATAGTTCGTTATCTATTGATTATAGGTTTAACACAATGTAGTTCGTTATCTATTGATTACAGGTTTAACACAGTATAGTTCGTTATCTATTGATTACATGTTTAACACAGTATAGTTCGTTATCTATTGATTACATGTTTAACACAGTATAATTCGTTATCTATTGATTATAGGTTAAACACCGTATAGTTCGTTATCTATTGATTACAGGTTTAACACAGTATAGTTCGTTATCTATTGATTACAGGTTTAACACAGAATAGTTCGTTATCTATTGATTACAGGTTTAACACAGAATAGTTCGTTATCTATTGATTACAGGTTTAACACAGTATAGTTCGCTATCTATTGATTATAGGTTTAACACAATGTAGTTCGTTATCGATTGATTACAGGTTTAACACAGTATAGTTCGCTATCTATTGATTATAGGTTTAACACAATGTAGTTCGTTATCTATTGATTACAGGTTTAACACAGTATAGTTCGTTATCTATTGATTACAGGTTTAACACAATGTAGTTCGTTATCTGTTGATTACAGGTTTAACACAATATAGTTAGTGAAATGTGTCATTCTTCAATTTAACGATATAACCGATATCATTCGTTGGGAAACCTTTATCATTTTATTCGTATTTCATTTATTTTTCATCTATTGAGATATTTGTATCTATGGCTTGTTTTTGTCTTGTCTATTGCTTCCTATACTATTTTATCAGTTTATTTACGAAGAGGTTTACGTAACATTACGTTTATTTTGTTTGATATGTTATTTTGTATACTGCTTTATATCACATGTAATTGTTTAACGTTTTGTTCTGGTTTGATTACATGTATACACAAAACAAAGCTGTACTAATACTGATTCACGGAGTATTCGTTAATTATTACACTAAACCAAGTCACACCATCAAGCTCGGACGTCAAATGACCCGGTTGTGTTC